GTTTACTTTGCGCTGCTCGCACAGCAGGACTCCAGCTGGACCTTCCAGGCAACCATGATGAATACGACAGTGCTGGGTGTCACCATTGAGCCGGATCAGGCTAAGGCCGTGGGTCCGATCTTCCTCTTCATGCTCATTCCACTTTGGCAATATGTGACCGTTCCACTTTTGCGGCGACTGTTCCATTGGGAGCTGAAGCCGCTGCACAGCGTCACCCTTGGCGGCATATGTTCAGCTGCTGCCTTTCTCTGCGCCGGCATTCTACAAGATCGCATTATGGTCAGTCCACTACGAGCACAACAAATCGAGCAATATATATTGTTTTTTCTTTTTTTTATAGCAATCGCCTAGTCAGAGCATCAACATTGTCTGGCAGCTGCCTCAGTTCCTGCTGCTTATGATGGGCGAATTGCTGTTGTCCATTCCGGGGCTGCAGTTCGCCTTCACCCAGGCGCCATCATCCATGAAGTCTGTGGTCACAGCCGCATGGTTCTTAAACAATGCCTTTGGCAATCTCATCGTGGTGATAATTACCCAACTTGATGCTCTGAGCTCCCAAAAGGCCGAGTATTTGTTCTACGCCGTGCTAATGCTGGTCTGCATTATCATTTTTACCCTGCTGGCCTACGAGTATGGACTGCAGGAGCTCAAGAGCGACATGCAGACAGGAGATTTGGTTGTTCTGCTGCCCAACGCGACGGACAATGTTCCCAGCCCAAGTAGCCGGAGCGGAAGTGTGTAGAATTGTCTAAAAAGGTACATCTAAAAGTATAGTTGATTGCTTTTCAATTTGTGGAATAGGTATTTAAATATAATTACTTTTAATTTATTTACACACACACGCACATACATCTAGGTCGAATGACAAATAAATTAACTGAACAAAGTAGATAATTGGAATCATTCTAGTATCTTGAACATATACTGCAGCTCAAGGTTTGTATCATCGCTCAGATCGGTGCAGTGAATGCCATTGAGCACCTTGGAGCTGCCGAACTTGGAGCGCAGCGTATGTGGGCGCAATAGCTTGGCAATTTCTGGATCCATTGGACCGCAAAAGTTGCGGAATTCCTGGTGCGAGTTCTTTTCCGGATCCTCGCAAGCTACTTCCAGACACATGCATACACCACTTGCCAGCTGAGCCACCATTGGTATGAATTCCGGCAGTACACCGCGGTAGACCTCATAGAATTCCTCACAATTCACTCGCGCCATTAGCAGCATGCGCATGGCTGTTATCTTAAAGCCAGACGAAAGGATCTCTTTGAGTATTTGACCCAGAAGCCCGTCTTTGATTATATGAGGCTTTATGAT